CGCGAAATTCAAAATAAACAAACAAACAATTTAAGGATAAAAAATACCACTCTCGATGTGGAGATACTTTCATGTACCTGGGCTTGAAATATTGTTATTATACTAATCTCAGTTTCACTTTTATTCAGTCAAACACGATATGTTAGTATATTTCGTAATATAAGCTATAAAACTAAATTTATCTTAAAAATATGCCCCCCCCAAAAAAAAAAATATTTCCGAAGAAAAATATTTAACTAGGAATATATTTCAAAACATTGTCACGATGAACTTTAACGGCGCTAAGTTGTAGTATGGTTCAAACCTGAAGCCCCCTAACGGTCAATGACTGATGGTCCTTACCTGTTTCTTTCCTCTGCGTAAAAATATGACATTACTGCATTTTTAAAACTGCATAACAATCGAATAAACCACGTAAACAATAAATAATTCGATTATTTTAGGCGGTCCCCTAATCTATAATTTAAAGAAAATGGACGTGTAAGATCGATGATAGGTTCCGATGCTTGTCACGTGTCGAATTGTTAGAAAAAGTGTTAACTGCCTTTTTTTTTTTTGTCTTTCCAGTTCAGTCTTACTTTATATTAAGTGCAATTCTCACGTGCTGAATTCAGCTGTTCTTGTGATATAACTTTCGTTCTCTTTGTTTCTGGCAGCCATCTTATTGGAAACCGGTAATCTGTGGATAAAGCGCAAGCAGCGATTTAGATATAAAACAAAAGCTCAATCTGCACTGTGATATTTTGTGCTGTAGTAACCTGTTATAGAACAGATATTCAAAAACTTAGGACCCACAATTAGGAACCACAACAGTTTCTCGATCAGTGAAATAGATAGATGAAGTTAATCTTATGAAAATACGATATAAAAGTTTCCATTAAAACAAATGATCAACCTGAAAAATTGAAGACTATCTTGTCTTTTAGCAAATCTGCAGAATTTTCCTTTTCATTCTATTCGTTCTAATAATGCTTGGAGACGGCTTGAATGGGTAATGAAGAAAAACTTTAATATATAAGTTTAACATAACAGCAAATGTACAACGTTTCGACATCATCAGATACGAGTAGCTTACATTTACACAGATATATATATATATATATTATTCATTATAATATTTGTACGAGACGTCACTATATATCATAAATTATAGCATTTATTCTCCAGTTTATTGATATAAGAAATAACAGCTGTATTTATATACTAGAAGGAGTACCCATCCCCTGGACGGAAGTTATGTAAATTCATGATTAATGAAAGGTTATCTTAGGATCATGAAAAGGTCCCTCCCTTATATGTAATTGTAAAAAAAAAAAGAAAGAAAAACGCACATAAAAACTGCAAGACACAAAATGTGAAACCGTAAGTTTACAAGAATATCTCCATGAACCCAATGAACCTACATACCAATTTTGGTGACGATCCATCTACAGGGGGCAAGGTAGTGGTAAAAAACGCCCATAGGAACCGCAAAATGCAAAACTGGAAATTTGTATGTACCCCCGCATGGGCCTAATGAACCTCCATACCAATTTTGGTGACGATCCACCCACATCCTGCGAAGTAGTTACATGGACATACAACAGACAGTGCTATTATATTGATATAAGGTGTGATTTCATAGTGATTGGTTACGTCACGGTGACGTAGCGTGGTGTTGGCACTGATACTGGTATTTTCATTATGCGATAGATGATCTAAACGACAGGTCAGAGATCCTTAAGGCTCAGATCAAAGGCTTTAGATCAAATGTGCTTAATTACAAACAAACGAACTCGTTCAAGTAGTGTAAGGTTGAAGAAAAATAACAAAAGAGTAGACAGTTTAATCGGAAGGTTACGGTTTGTTCAGTTAGAAATGTTGCCTTTCTTTAGCACAAAGCTACACAATGGGCGATCCACACTCTGTCCACCTCGGAGAGTCGAACCCCGGATTTAAGCGTTGTACATCCGTAACTTAATCGCTGACCCACGGTGGACCGTTATAAAGGTAACAAACATTAACATAGCGTATTATTCCTGTAATGCTTCGCTAAAGCACAAAATCCACCTCAAACCAGATGCACATGTGGGTTCAGTTCATCCGGAACCTTATGACCTTTCTACAGTATCTTTATAGAAAATCCTTGCTTAAAACTACGCCAAAATGACTTTTGTGTATAGCCGTCCCAGATTTTGAACTGACAGGCGAAAGTGAAGACAGCTAATCTACTGCACCCATGACCAACACCGTCCCAGATTCTGAACTGACAGGCGAAAGTGAAGACAGCTAATCTACAGCACCCATGACCAACACCGTCCCAGATTCTGAACTGACAGGCGAAAGTGAAGACAGCTAATCTACAGCACCCATGACCAACACTCTCGTTTGACCGAATAATGAGATTTTATCTTACAGCACACTCTCGGTCCCAACGTGCGGAGCGCGTTTTTGCGACAATGGAAAGTGAACCACGCACCCTTGGATTCACAGTCTGAGCACGCTAACCACTAGGCCACGCCAGAGCCCCTTCAGGCTAAAATCTGGCTCGTGAAGTACGCGTTGAAAATAATGTTCCTCGTGCGCTTTCAGAAAAGAATCGACAGAGTTTTTTTGTTTTTTTTAATTTAGATCAATTTAAATAATTCCCCAATAGACAACGCTTAGTGACAAGTAACTGTAAGCCGTCCGACAAAACAGTGGATGACAATGATTACAAGGAGAATTATTAGATAAACTCTGATAGCTCAGAG